AAAAAATAGGATTTTTTAGGCGAATATCTGAAAGTCCTAGTCACTGGAGTCGTCTTCTTGTATATAATACCATCATATATCAACATTTTAATTATTGTTTTTCATTGTTACTATCACGCAAAAAAACTGATATTCAAAGGCTCCAGTTACTACAAAATAAGGCTATGCGCACTATATTATTTTGTACACGTTATACGCCTATTAATTTAATGTTAAAAACCCTCGGATGGCTTTCAATACAGCAAAAGGTTGACATGTCAAATGTCTTATTTATTTTTAAAACAAAAAATCATTTATTGCCTGAATACTTGCCGGAATATCTAATACCGAGGTCCGAGAGGCATGCATATAATATCAGGGCACGTAGCGTTGCCAGGTGTCCGGATAAAGCCGGACATAGTTAGGCTTTTTGATTGCATGTCCGGCTAAAATAAACGGTGTCCGTCTTGTCCGGCTTTTGTTAGGCTTTTTACATTTCGCAAACAAGCGAGCACTGCCGCCGCGCCGCCGAGCGTGGCCGAACGTAGGCGAGTCGACTACCGAACCGAAGTGCCGCCCGTCGCCCGTAGCTCAGAATTAGACATTCATTTTAAACAATACTTTATCATTCAAAGACGCGCTGGCTGATTCTTTTTCCAGCTATAGAAAGGATTTTACAAATGTTTGAACCTCTTAAGTCGTATTTCCTAAAAACGGAAAAGAATAATACAGCCAGAACTTTGAGAGAATTTTTCGAAAACGACCTTAACGAAGGCTATTTGTGGGCTGTTCATTCTTTCATGGCCATTTATCAAAATCGCATCAAAGATACAGAGATGGCTGATGTTTCTGTGAATGAGGTTTTGGAAAACTGTTCTGAGATAATCAATAGCATAAATGCAAGAATTGAACAAGACTTTTGCCCACTGAAAGTGACTTCCATTTTGCGTAAATTCAAAGAAAACAACGAAAATTCGTTTAAAGAGGATATTAAAAACATGTACATTATTGCAGTACAATATTTACGATCTTGGACTGAAAACTTATACAAAGACACAAAACATTTCACATGGATGACTTTAAAAGATGTTCCTGAATGGAATCAAGTTTCCGATACTATAAGTATCCTATCGCAAAACAACGTTAAAATCGACGATAGCAAATGTTTTGACCAACTGCAAAATCTTAAAAGTTTTCTGAATACTAACAATGAGAACGTTGATTTCAAGAATCTATTAGCACATAAGAAATGGGTAGCCTATTTTAAATCGATGATAAGTCAAGATTGCTTTTCAGAATTCCTAACTATTTGTCAGTATTACTTTGCTATCCCAGGACATAACGAAAACGTTGAAAGAGTTTTTTCCTTGATAGGTCAGCAATGGACGAAAGAACGCAACAGATTACATGTTGATACTGTTGCCAAAATGTTGGTTGTAGAATTTAATTTAAAACATTTGACATGTAAGGATTTTTACAACTACATTTTGAAAGAAACTGAGCTCTTAAAGCAGGTTTCGACAAACCAAAAATATTAATAATTATTTTTATTGTGTAACTCAAAGAGAAAATGTTTTTTTTTTGTTTTATAGTTTAACTTAAAAAGAAGTTATTTATTTTTTTAGTTAAAAAAGTGTTATTTGTTCATAAATGCTTAATTATCTAGAATTTAATTTTATTGTGTAACTCAAAGAGAAAAAGTTTTTGTTTGTTTTATATTTTAACTTAAAGAGAAGTTATTGATTTTTTTAGTTAAAAAAGTATAATTTGTGCCTTTCTTATTATTTAAGAAAAATTCAAATATGTGAATAAATGTATGTAAGTATCTAGAATTTAATTTTGACTGATGACTATTTGACTGATTAATAATAAAGTACCTATCTAAGACTGATTTGACATTCGATTTTATTTATTATTTCACTAGAAGATTTATGATAATAATCAAAAAGACTTGATTTTACATAAAAATGTTTTGTCGTACCTATTAATACTAAGACAAAATCCTCAATAAAATAGGGTGTCCGGCTTTTTTAACCAAATGTCCGGCCAAACTGGCTGGTCTGTCCGGCTATTAGGTTTGGCGACCTGGCAACGCTAAGGGCACGTAACACTTTTGACATGGAATTCGCTATGGGATATACAAAAATGTCTTTTTAGTGATGGTTTGAGACTTTTTAATGCATTACCTACAGAAATTAGAGAAGCGACGTCTGTAAATATATTTACTCGTAAGGTTAAGCAATTGTATCTAGATAAAATGGCATAATATATGTACTTTCTGTGTTAAGATAACTGTATGTCATTATCTCGCATTTGCTATTGTTGCATTTACTGTGGTTGCAGTTACTATGATTTTAAGGGAATCTAGAATTACTGTTTTTTTGTTTATTACTTGAGTAAGACACTATTATAAACTATAGGAAGTAGCTTTAGGGCTAAGAATAATAAACATTTCATGTCATTTCATCTCAATTTTTTTTTGTTTGTTTCTACCTACGCCTACTGGTATCGTAGTCACGAGAAACTTCGAAAACGGGATATTGTTTTTTGGCATCACTAAAAACTATATCACTTAGTTCCGTATCTCTGTCTGTCGGTCTGCTGTCTCTCTGTTTGCTAATCCTATAACCGCCTAAAACGTGAACGTACCGATCGGATTTTGATGAAACTTTTACACAATGTTACTTCAATAGTTTTTGACAATCGGTTCAGTAGCGGAGAAGAAAAAGACCAAAAACGAGAAAAAATAAAAAACGCTCAAACTCCGCTCTTTGACATTTCAGATGATCATTTTGGAAAATAGTTTTAGAGCTAAAAAAATTGGGGGGGATTGTAGGAGGTGGGGAGGGTATATCTAAATTTTGTTGAAGTTGGTATATTTACGCACCTATTAGACATATTTCACACATCATAGATTAGCCCTTAAAAATATTCTGCCGCCAGCATTGATAAGTGCTCTGTTATCACGAATTATTACTGCCGTTCCACAATATATTGTTTCCTATGCTGTGTGCGCGCTGTCACGTTAACAGGGATGGTATCGGGGAGAGGCGACGTTGCCAGATGGACTACCGGTAGGGCAGGGAAAGAATATCTAGGGACTAATTGTATGGGCCTGTTCGACTGATTTTTTTCTCAGAGGGGTCTAGTTTGTGCTGAGTTTTGCTCTTAGCTGCGCTGTCTTAGGAAAAAATTGTGAATCAAGATTCGAAAATCAAAATGCTTGTATGCTTTGTCTACATCAATTGTGAAGGGTTTTGCAAAAAAGGAAGTACTGTGGATAGACATGGTTAAAACGAGGTTACATCACAGCTTTGGCGTAGACAAAATTCAATGTTTCAACTTTTGAAGCACGTTTTGCTATCTTCTGTTCGTGGAGAAAAGTCCAAATAACCGGAGTATACTTTTAGATTCAAGACACTGATGTTTAGCCGGAATCATTGTTTTTTAAACACGGCATTCGACAGTATTGTTGTAACATGGCTAAACGTTGAATGAAAATGCGCGTGGGTGGAAAATAAATAGTAAAAATATGGAAAAACATGAACTCTTCATGCATAAAACATACAACACTTACAATTTTGGAAATAAATACAAGTATGAATGCGTATTTGTTTTAGCGAACTATGTATGCTGAACTACATTTTTAGTGTAACCATTCGAACTATTGCTGTTGATTTATTGCAATTATTCTTGTTTCTCATATAGCTGTTTGAAATTGATGATGAAAAATTTGTTTCGATTTTAGTCCAGTCATTCATATGATTTGGTGGAGGTCTTTAGGTAACAATAGCACCTGTTTATGGTGCGTTCTTTTTCAGGGTTTTCTGATAAGAATCATATTTATTGTATTTTTCCAACCAAACCAAATTACTGTTTTTTACAAGTGATTCATATGTCTGAAACCCGTTTTTGATACTCTGTGTTCTTCGCTTAATGACAGAAAATCACTTAAATATTCTTGGACATGACCACAGGCATAGACAAGAGAAACAACGTGATAGGAAATTGCCCATTCCTTACTTTTCCCAATAATAACAAAAAAATACAGCCTTATGAACATCTCTCGATTATTTTCATTCCTAAAGGTTACATACTAGAACCGAAATTTCTCGAAATCAAAATCAATTTTTTTGTGTAAGGTCTTATATTTTTGTTACCAACGTGGCACGATGTTAACGTCCACAATATCTGGGATGAAATTGGGAGATCAGCGTATTAAAACCTGGCGCCTTCCTCTTGTTTTTGATATTCAGAGTGTTAAACAGTTCATATAAGCATGGGTCCGCAAATTCTTCGTTCTCATGATACAGGGTGTTAAAATTGAATAAAAAAAGGTTTTTCGGAAATTTCTTAAATATCCTTTAGCTAATTTTGTTGTAATTTGGCGGTGGTATTTATAACAATATGGAGCTAATTTAGCCCTAAGTTGATCAAATTTATTAATTCCACTGGCGTCTCGAGCGCGATCTGGGATTTGCGATAAAAAATATAAGCCACTAAATTTTGTGCAATTTTATTATGTTCTTTGCATTAACAACTTTTAGTTTCTTGATTTTTTTTTGTATCTTGCTTAGTTTTCGATAAAAAAAGTCCACTAATTCCATATCCCTGGACCACACAAGGAATATAGGGAAAAGTTCCCTTTTACCAACGCTCAATTTAGTGAATTTTTTTGGTCTAAATGTTATTTAGAATATGTTATTTCCAAAATAAGCTCCTTAACGTTATAAATACCAGCGTCAAATTACAGCAAGTTAAAGGATATTTGAGATATTTTCGAAAAACCATCTTTGTATCTTAAAAACAAAGAATTTGCGAACCTATGTTTACATGAACCTTTTGTCTTAGAATGATTCAAACAATCGCCTGTTAAATTTATGGTACATATTCAATTTATTCTAAATAATTATACTGAATAAACGATGTTGCGATTAGGTAACAAATTATCGTCAATACAAGCCACAATGAAGTTCGCATTAAACCGTGTACCAAACCAGGCATCAAACTGTTCTACTTACCCATCCTGAATGTGAACGAAGTACATGGCTCCTGCATATTCCTGAGGGTGTCAAATGGAAAAAGGGCAGGAGCACTTCGTCCATCCTGCGAAGTTGTGAAAGGGAACGACAGCACGTTCAATGCCAATCCGACTACTTGAGATATCCAGGACATTTTTGTCTGATATGATCCGGCTAGCTACAAGCAAAATAAAAAATATAGGTAACATTGCGGTCAAGTAGAAAAGAGTTGCCGCTTCCTGCGTTGTATTATAACATTGTTCGTATCATAAAGCAAAAGGAGCTTTGCGACAAAAATAAGTTCCATCATGTTATATGAAGTTTAATACTTATTTTCTCCAAACTATTGGTCTAACGGTCGGTATATTTGTAAAGTCCGTAAAGCCTAACCGACTCAGATGAAAGGGATACGGTGCATTGTGGCTTCATTTAAGTTAAAGCAGCTATTTATATTTGCTGCAAAAAAACGATTCTAGCCAAATCAAACCACATTTTATGTTTTAACTTCTGTTTATTGAATATTTGTTCAAGCATTTTTTCAAGTACGATGACGATTAGTGACAGTTATATTATTGTTTATCCGTCTCTCAGGTGACAAGAAAAATAAATGAACTGACACCAGGATGACAGATAAAGAAAAATATGCTTTCATCATATTAGACGAAAATACCCCTGATTCGAAATATACTAAGTGACATATAAATCCGAACACCCAGTTTGAATGGTTTTATTTTAATAAAAGTTGGTGAATGTATTTATCTTACTGTAAATAACAAGTGAAAAAATGTTCAGCCTTATCAGTTGGACATTCCGGTTTTTATACTGCTTTTTTTTTAATTCACTAACGCTCCAAAAATGAATATTTCAGCCGCAGTAAAGAATCAACGTTGGCGTATTTTGGTTCTTGACATCCTTTACGATCGGTTACGATGCCTAGAGTACGGATACCTGTACGATTTCGTCAACTTAGTGAGTTTGATAGGGGCCGTATAGTGGAACTTCGGGAAGCTGGACTTTCTTTTCAGGTAATTGCAGTTAGAGTGCAAAGAAGTGTAGACACTGTGTTAGGTGTTGTCAGGCATGGCTTCGAGAAGGCCGTACGCAAAGAGCAAGGGGCACTGGACGCCGCCGTAGAACAACAGACCGTGAGGATCGCCGCCTGAGATTATTGGCCTTAAGGGACCGTTTCTCCACTACCAGGTCCATTGCAAATGAATGGTTTGCAGAACACGGAAGACCTATTGGCATGCGAAGTGTTTACCGACGAATGAGAAGTTTTGGCTTGTTTTCATACCGGCCACACTGGGTCCTCCCTTTAACTCGAGAACACCGACGTAATCGCCTTGAGTGGTGCAGACAACGGTCACTCTGGGATCAGGAATGGAACAGTATTGTCTTTAGTGACGAGTCTCGATTCTGTTTAGGCATGCACGATGGACGTGCCAGGGTTAGAAGGCGACGTGGTGAAAGGATGACTCCACAGTTTTTTGTTGAAAGACATGTTCATCACACTGTTGGAGTTATGGTTTGGGGTGCTATAGCTTATGGTTCCAGGCCACCTTTAATCTTCATCAGAGGTAACATGAACGCGCAGCGTTATATCCACGAAGTTCTAGAACCCCATCTTTTACCCTATCTTGACACCCTGGAAGATCCAACTTTCCAACAAGATAATGCCCGACCACATGTTGCAAGAGTGACAATAAACTTCTTTCAACATAATGATGTCACATTGTTACCATGGCCACCAAGATCTCCCGACTTATCCCCAATTGAGCACGTGTGGGATATGATGGGTAGGAGATTGCTCAATTTGCAACGTCTTCCTCAGACTCTAGAAGCACTTCGAGAGGAGTTTGTGGTTGCCTGGAATGAGATACCACAGGAGGACATTGGCCACCTGATCAGAAGCATGCCTAGGCGCGTTGGAGAAAGCGTAGCACATCAGGGTGCATCCACACATTATTAAAGGTCAAAGGGCTTTAAAGCAGTGCAATCATTTTGAAATTTTTATCATTTACTTATTATGCTTCATTAAGTACTTATACAAAATTTTATTAAAATAAAACCATTTAAACTGGGTGTTCGGATTTATATGTCACTTAGTATATTTGTGAAGAAGGTTTTATTGCAGCAAGTTGTTCAATTGGGGTATTTAGAGCATGGACGCATAAGATGGATACACCAATTTTTGTGGAAAAGCTTTTTATTCGACAACGAAGAATGAGAACACGTGTTTTTTGGGATTCAATCACAAGTGTTAACAGGAACTTTCTAAATAACATTTTTAGGTATTCATGAGACCATTTGCTAATATGATTAGAGTAAATTTAACACAATAAACATAAATTCAAACATATGTGATTTGATTCGTCCAGTCAATGGAGTCCCATGAGTATGAAGCTTTTAGGAGTTACATACATTCAAATTCAAATTCTTTTATTATCCTAAGAGACATTATAAAGTATGTATAGGATTCGTCGGTATAAAAACTAATAAAACAACACAAAATAAATATATGTATAAAACAAACACACAAATAAACCATAATATAACAAACTCAGAGACGGCATAATAACATTTATACACAAGAAAATCTGTCAGTTTAACCTTAAAATTATGTATATCTCCACACTCTTTAATATGGTTTGGTAGCCTATTGAAAATTCGTGGACCCAGTACTTCCGGAGATCTGAACTGCGATCTTATACTTGAAAAATAGACATTTAAGTCTCCAGCTTGTCTGGTCGAGTACGTATTAACATTGTTAAAATACCTAGTTTTCTTAATAAAGGTATAGACAGCCATTTCGTATAAAAATAAAGATGGTAAAGTTAAAAAGGAAATATCTCTTGTAAACTGCCTACGCGTTTGTATACGTCTATCGCTTATACGCACAAACTATATATGCAAAATATTAAAAAAAGTTTTCAGTACTCCCTAAAGTTAAGGGATCTGAACATTGAAAGATGACAACATCTAAGTTTGTTAACATCGTACAATCTTGACGCATCCAAACAATGCTTGAGCTCAAAAATCTTCACAATGTTGTCAAACATTTAAAACCAAGTTTGGAAATTATCAGACTCTTTTGTTTTGTGTCTTACGCCTTACCATTTATCAAAAATGTTTTTAAAATGAAACAAAACCCATTACGACATCTGTGTTTTACTATGAATCTTGTACTGCAAATTGTACTATACAGTCCCATGACGAAAGAGTCTCACCAAGTAAAAGCACATGCAATCTACATTAGAAAGCTCTGCCTATAGCCTGCTGCAATCCAAGTTCCATCAAAGTCGGTGCTTTTGTTTCTGAGATTGCGGGGGTCTAAGAACTTCAGCGGAAGGATTGCCATAAATTTGACAAGATATAAGCTTTTTATGCTATTGAACATTCCAAAGTTTATGTCTATGCGTCCCTGGACATATTGATAGTGTAAGACGAAAGTCAAAAGTGAATAGGGATCTAACAGCTAAATACGAATTCTGGTTTAGTTAAGATTCTACCAGTAAATTGCTTTGATTACCCCCAAAAATAGACTAAAACTTGTATAGTACTATTATATATGATATTCGAATTGAAAAAAATATTTTTAGAATAATTGGAGTCCAGGAACAAACAATATAATTACGATACAACTGCACGCTAACGAATATAGTGCGTAAGGAAAGAGCGCGATTGACGAAAATCCGCAATTTGAAACTCGCGTTAAGTATGAGGTAATTTAGACATCAAGATTATTTAATTTATTTGTCCGCGTTGATCAAAAGTCTGGAGAACATATAAAAATAGCTTCTGCCTTGTCCCTACGATGTTTGAACCCAAACATGAATTAGAGGTCGCTGCTATTTCACAGTACTTTTCTGTAGCTCTGCCTACGCATTTTTCTTATAATGAATCAAAATGGGAGCAAACTAAAATTCTCCACTCTGTCCGTATCATGAAATATCTAATAATACACCAATATGTGTCAATCTACTTGGTCTAATATCTTTATTTGAAGATACTCACCCCTATTCACTGAAAATGTCTCTATCTCACTGTCACTGTCACCGCACAACACTTTCACGCTCTTCACGATGCACCGGCAAACTAACAAAAAAAATAATAACTAAAGTCTGACACACTTTTTTTTAAATTACTCTATTATTAAATCCGCAGTTCTTTAATTAAAATTACATTTAAGCTTAATTACATAACAATTTATGGATGTGAGATTTTTTGACGCTCCGACAGTCACAACATGTTTGTGTTTACCTGACTGGAGCGATTAGGATGTTGGAATATGGAAACGGATGAAGCAACAATCGCTTTAATAAGTTCAATGTTAACAGTAGTACGGGAGAAATGCTACGACATCGTTAAAAACCAATCAGGCTCGATGAGTATTCTGCGAGGTACCACCGGCTGGTGCCATCGGGCGAGGAACCAGGTAGCAGGTACCTACTGCAATATAGTATAGGTGAAAGTGGAGGAAATTGGAAGCTTTAACAATGGAATCTTTTCCGTGATGTCTAGCTGCCTACTGTCCTTAAATATTACAGTGGAATCCACTTATAATGAACTTGCTTATAATGGAAACCCGTATATAATGGACACAATTTAAGGTCCTATAAATAACTGCATGTAAAATCCTCGGATATTATACACTCGCTTGAAATAGACCCTTGCTCATAGTGGACTATTTTAATCCATTATGTGCGAGCTATTTTGGTAGTTCCCCGAGGCAGATTTAGCTGATGCAATTGTTTACGGCGGTGTGGCTTTGCAGTTTGCATTTGAACTTGGCCACCAGTGTTATACTGTCTTTATTAGAGTTATAAACATGTCGAAAAGTGCGAAGCGTGCATTCACTTTACACGAAAAGTTCACAATAATTAGAGAGCTTGAGCAGGGTTCATCTCGAGCAAATATATGTGCTAGTATGGCTATAAAAAAATCCACTGTGTCAAATATTTGGGAAAACCGCGACAAAATTAAAAAAGACTGGAAAACAAATAGTCAAAGGAAACGAAAATCGTAATGTATAACGTTGAACAAAACCTCTCTTCAGAAAGGACAACACAAATAACCCCTCTGACTCAGCTAGATGTATTTCTTGGGCAGCATATTCAGTAATTATTTTCTCACATAGATGTCACTGATTTTATATACGTACAAACCAATGCACATTCATCCAGATATGATCTTGCTACTCAGCTACTCAACTACACATCTTTGGAGAGTACACTCTACAGACTAACTCGGCATTCTGCAACCAACAAAGCATGGTCATTGAGCGTATCGTGTCGTTGAGTGATTCCTCCATAGATGGTCACTTTTGATGATGCTCATAGCTCTCATAGCGAACAAACGCGGAATGTACTGTTTGCACACTCGGAACTAGCAAGTTGACATTTTGTCGGTTTTTCTTTACGTTTTATAGGTTCTTTACGTAACACCCCGTGGGAGTAACAAAAGCAACGGAACAACTAAGATAGATAGAATAGCATCAGCTTGAACAGGGTGACCTTCGATTTAAGCTTTAGCATTACCTTTTTCAAGGTTCAATTTCAACTTTTTATTTAAGCCTTTTGGTCTCAGGCAATCGAAATAACGGAAAATTCTACGTTTGTGTATTAAAATGCCAGACCAAAGACATGTCTTGAGGTCAAATGTGAAGTTAGGGAAAATTATCAGAAGTTTAGGAGGAATATTGATTCTACATTTAACCTTCGTTTGACCTCTAGGGGTGACCTTGACCATGGTCTCAATGCAGGTTCGAACGTAGAATTGTCCGTTCTAACGGTTGTGTAAAAAGGGAGCTTTCTATTTAAAAAACAAAAGATGACCTTGGAAGTCGGTATCAAAGTCAAATTCAAGGTTACTATGCCAAAGTTAGTAAAGACCTGATTTTGAGTTTTTCCAAAAATACCTGAGCTGTAAATTAGTTTTGTTATACCGGGTATAAAAATATGTCATATTGGTGTTATAAAGTCGTTTGAATTGAATTGAATATTTTCAAAAAATTTAAGTAGACTTCTCTATTCACGGTAAGGGCTATCAACTGCATATTTCCGTCCACAGCCAACTCTCGAAGAAAATTACCTATGCACCTTGACTGCTTTGCCTACTGCTACTAGATTCCTGTAATTAAAGTACAATCGGCTATCAGCAACAATATGTCAATGCTCATTCGAATTTAATAGTCATATAATATATATATGCATCGACATCGCATGGCATAAAGGTCACGGTAATTTTGGAAAGCAATTTTTGCAGAGGTGACACGCAACACGTATATACAACGATGTTGTACCACAGGTACCTACTACATCATTTCCTGCTTGCATTTCTGCAAACGACATCGTTTGCACAATGCAGATTATTTATTTCTGTATTCGCAATATAGACACATATATTGCTGTTATAAAAACATAATTATGTTGTTGCATCGAAATTGTTTCGGAAAGGATTCTTCGTACTCAGATTAGGCTGTATCGTATTAGTCTAGGCAATATTTCATTTTTTAAACAGTGCTTTTGATTAAGGCCAACCTCTACTATTTAATTAGAGCTGAGGTACTTCATACTAGATCTCCTCATGAGTACTTTATAATCATAGAATACAAGTCCACTGTTTTCCAGAATGACGGACTAGCAAGCTCTTAAAGGGAGCATCTTTTTTATACTTAGAATGGCTTATGACTTGACTACTAATCATCAACAAAAAACAATGTGTACATACTCCATAGTCCCCATCGATTTGGTAACGCTAACGCTAGCTTCTTCCCTGCCCTAAGTATCAACCATTTGGCAACGCTGTTGAAAAATACCAGTCAAACGATACTATACTATAACATCTCTGCCGGCGATGCAGTCAGACGCAAGGCAGCGTTCGGCCTATGGAAATCGCCGTTGCATCGCATCATCCTGACCAACCGCGTGTCGCGTCTATATACAGGGTGGCCAAACACGTGACGTCATAAAAAAAAATTAGATTCCCCACATCGAGAGGAATCCAAATCACCCCCATATATATGGTCCGATTTTGTTTAGTTTAGGAGTTATGATTTTTTTTCGGATTTTTCGAGAATTTTTGAGTTCTGTGTTTATTTTTACCATAACTTCGTTAATAATTGTGATAAATGCCTGCTTTTTTCACGATTATGTAGCTAAGACCTAAGGCTTAACTATCATATAATCATTCAAGTCATGTAACTAATACTACTTCTTAATTTTTTTCAAAATCTTCGAACATAACAAAAAAGTAAAAAAGTGCAACAACTTTGAACGTTTATAAAACATTGAAAAAACATGTTCTTACTATTCGTAAGTATCTTAAAAACTTCCTTACGGTATCAGCTATTTACCGTAAAAATTTCATCAACCTAGCTTTACTACATGCTACCGTAATTGTGGCTCAAATAGAACCGAACCCAAAATTGGATAACCCTCTGCTCAATAGAAATTGTTAGTTTCGGAAAAAAAATTTGCAAAAACCACAAAAACACGTTTGATTTTTACTGAACAGCAGATTATTATTCATTTATGTTATTTACAAGAGGTTTTCAAAATGTCTGCCTCTAACAGAAATGCACAGTGTACACCTACGTATGAAATTTTGTTTTAAATCTCTAAATGCTTGTGTGTTGTTTTTCAACACATGTGTCGCTTCTTGAACTTTGTTCCTCAATGAATTTTCATTTGCACATTCTTGGGCGAATGTTATGTCTTTAAAATATCCCCAAACAAAAAAATCAATGGGGTTGAGGTCAGGGGAGCGTGGAGGCCATCGTATCGGTCCGTTTCGTCCGATCCATCTGTCTGGGAACCTTTCGTTTAAGTAGTTTCGCACGATCGTTGCGTTGTGGCATGGTGCACCATCATTCTGGAACACCATGTTCCGTCTGGCTTCCAGGCTTGAATCTTCCAGCAATAATGGTAGGCTATTTTCAAGGAAGCTTTTGTAGGCTACCGAATCCAACCTTGACGGCAGTTCAAATGGACCGATAAATTCCATATTGAATATTCCTGACCACATGTTCACACTAAAACGGTGTTGAAATGTCGACGGCCTTGACTGGTGGGGGTTTTCAACAGCCCAAGTATGTAAATTATGGATATTGAATATCCCTGTTCTTTCAAAACGTGACTCGTCAGTCCATAAAATTTTATCAAAAAAATCGGGATCCTCTCGTTGTCTTCGCAGCATTGTCTCGCAGAAATCCACTCTTAACTGGTAATCTGAAGGCATCAACGCTTGAACTCTTTGAACATGATAGGCATGATAACCTTCTTCATGAAGAATATTTTGTATCGATGTTCGTGGTATTCTAAGGTTTTGTGCCATAGATCTCGTACTCGTTGAGGGATTCCGGCTAATTTCTTCAAGTACTACTTCTCTGCGATCCGGATCAGCTGTAGGATATCCTTCATTGCTTCCTCGTCCTGGAATGCGGCCTGCCATGAAAGTGTTATGTGTGTTAATAAAAACACGGTGGTCTGGGTAATGCTCAGGTTGTGGTCCGCCTCGGCGTATAAGTTGTTCCCGGTACAGCTGAGCTGCTAAAGCGCCGTTGCCTTGAGCAACGCCATAATAATAATGCATTTCTGCATATTCACGCAACGTATAATGCATCACAAACTTCTTAGCAAACAAAGTCCAAATCAGTATGCAAAGCAGAGTCCCGGAATATCCAATATTTTAGAGCACGAGGTTTCGGCTGTTATGGCCTCTTATTTCGTCTGCAGGTGACTTAGCCTTTCGGGGTTATTTATACCAGAACGGCTGACGTGTCCTGTGCCGTAGATGACGTGGCTGGTCGGTGGTGATGACGTGTCCTCTGTTGGTTGGCCTAACCAGAGCCTGAACATGGTGTTCCAGAATGATGGTGCACCATGCCACAACGCAACGATCGTGCGAAACTACTTAAACGAAAGGTTCCCAGACAGATGGATCGGACGAAACGGACCGATACGATGGCCTCCACGCTCCCCTGACCCCAACCCCATTGATTTTTTTGTTTGGGGACATAACATTCGCCCAAGAATGTGCAAATGAAAATTCATTGAGGAACAAAATTCAAGAAGCGACACATGTGTTGAAAAACAACACACAAGCATTTAGAGATTTAAAACAAAATTTCATACGTAGGTGTACACTGTGCATTTCTGTTAGAGGCAGACATTTTGAAAACCTCTTGTAAATAACATAAATGAATAATAATCTGCTGTTCAGTAAAAATCAAACGTGTTTTTGTGGTTTTTGCAAATTTTTTTTCCGAAACTAACAATTTCTATTGAGCAGAGGGTTATCCAATTTTGGGTTCGGTTCTATTTGAGCCACAATTACGGTAGCATGTAGTAAAGCTAGGTTGATGAAATTTTTACGGTAAATAGCCGATACCGTAAGGAAGTTTTCAAGATACTTA